ATTATTGATTGATTAAATGGCCCGTTAGAGCAAACAAGCCCTCCAACTTTTCAAAATCAGAATTGTTATGATGAAATTCTAGAATGAGTTCCCTCTATCGCTGCGCCCAGAGTACGAGGAAGAATGTGGTCATCGCTAGTCGCACTGGAAACTTCTGGAGAAAAGTCGCTAGATTGGGCATGAACAAAAGCGGGGCCGGATGTGAAAAAATGAATAATTGGACGGAGAAGCCATTGGATGCAGAAGCCGAAGCGGCAACAACCAGCGCGCCCCGTCTGGTCTAATCCATCGGATTAGCCCGACTTGTGGAAGCCCCTGGATAGCAGCGATTAATTGAGCACGCAATTCGGCTTCAGGCTGAATGGGGCATCCTCGAAACGAGTCGATTTTTTACCTGGACGCAAATGTGGCATGGCTTGCACCCTTTCTTTTATGCCGAGAAAACGATTCAGGGGCGTAGTGGATGGAACTGCCGATGCTCATACGAACGCCAAGGAAATTAGCCTGATTGGAGAAGGCTGGAAATAGACTTTACAACCTAAGCAGATTCGTGAGAAAAAAGGACTGAAAGAACACAAAATGTGTCTCAAGTGATCAGCGGACCAAGGCAGACATGCCGCGGTCATTAGGCATGAAATGAGATTTGAGCGCGGAACATTTGTGTGTTTAGGTCTTGACGACGTCAATTCTCTCAGATTTATGATCACTGGCCCATCTCCACGGCCATACACCATTGTTCAGGTGAAAAGGGATACTTGTCGTTACGAGGTGCCGCTGGTATACGCCGTGCACCAGTTACTACTCGGGATTATGCACGTATTTGGCTGTCTCTTTGTCTAGTTATAGACATAGGCGTGAAAAAATCAAAGTCATAGTGGTTTTTTTCAGCTTTTCAAAATTATACCGCCCAATTGAAGCGCGAGTAATGACGATGGACATGGCTGTAACTCGATCTTTTTGTACGCTTTTGTTCGAAAGGTAGCCTCTAGCCTTTGCGCCACTGCTACTAGCGGTAGTAATTGTGAGCTGAAATCAGCGCTTCAGTTGAAAAGTAGAATTTACAAGCAGCCCTTTACTGTCCTCAAAAACAGTCAACAATCTTACGTTTATTATTTTTGTTTATGAATTCTGAGGCAACAACAAGTCTCCACAAATCAATATTTCCTGGGATGTCCCCCCTCCAGAGGAGAGGTGGTACAGAATGTGGTGCTGCCTACCCCGCGTATCGTCCGATGGTCAAATGCTGGTTCGGATCTGGTTCAAGCCAACTTAGATCTCCATCCTTCAAGGGTTTAATTGGCATCAACTTGTTCGTAAGAATCAAAGGGCTGACTTGAATCTGCAAGAGACGTTAGCCCCGGAGCCCCCCCCCCCCTATGCGAATATGCAGATCAAATTACAGAACTGTAAGTAGAGCACGAGGCGCATCCCAGAAAGAGATTGGTCAACGCCGAATGTTCTATCAAAAAAAAGTCTGCGTGCTTCATGAGTTTTTCTTCCAATAAGAAAATCGATATATTGATTATTGATTGCTGGATTGGTTCTGCTTTCAGAGTTGTCGAAAGAAGGAAGGTGTATTTTCGAGATTTTGTCAAAGTGCTCAGTCATTTTCCGCCCGATCAACAAAAACAAACCGCATCCATGGAATAGCCGTGAAGCAAAACTGCGTTGTGAGTTTGATATAGAAATGATTATTGATTGATCGGGATTATTGGAACAGTTTTTATAGTCGCCTTTACCATGTACGACCTGAACAAAAGCGGCACCATTACGAAAGACGAGTTCAAGGATATTTTACAGGTGAATATTCTACGTTTCTGTGTCACCTTTGAGATCCTTTAACAGTAGGCTAATATGGTTGATCGATTTATCGATCATTAGGGCATGATTACGCAAATAAAGGAACGCCCGAGTTTTAGGCTTCTCTCCCTCTAAGGTTCACGTGCGAAACGGAGACTGAACAATTCCTTTGCTCACCACCCCCTTAAATAAACGTAAACAGGCTTGAAAATAATATTAAATTTCAAAATTTCGGTCAAAAATTTCGTAATCAGGACAGTAATGAAAAAGGATCAATTTGACTCAACTTGGTTTTGTATAGAATATAATTATTTCATTATTTTTATGCAAACTTTTGGCTTTTTACGACTTGTTTCATTTTATTTGGAAGTGAAATGAAGAATTAGAGGAATTCTTCATTCTGAGATTGGAAGGTAATTGATGGCTTACGGCTGCTACCGTTTCTCTACTTAAATATTGATTTATTTTTTTATCTATTTATTACAATTGATCGCTTACGGCTTGTTACTATTTATTTATTTACCTTTTGGTGAAGAGCATTCGTAGTACTATGCATGTTTTAATCGGGAATCTCTAAGTTTTGGGATTGCTTTCATTTCATTTGGAATTGAAATGGAGAAATGGAAATTTTTGGCTTATGGCTCAAAATCATTTTTTTGAAAAGGTTAGAAATTAGGCTACCGGATTTGACTCCGCCCGTCTCTCAACTCAACCCAGGTTATCAACCCAGGTCAAAGAAAGGCTTCCTTAGGAGTGGTTAGAATCGGGAATTTGAAAGCCGTTCAAGTGACCTGCCGTGGCCAATCGAGCTGAAAATGGTATTTTCTATCTGCCTAGACAGTTCTGCTATCAGAGTTTGGAGGAATGAGGAGTGACTGATCTTAGCACGTCTCTAGGAGGATTTTTTCGACCACGTCTCGCTGCTAGTCAAAAAGACCTTCTGAAAACTGCTTTTGAGGTTAATTTCAGAATTCTGGCGTGAACGGTGTGTTTTCCCGCTGATGTTCAGGGTTGTGTCTTTATTCTCCTGCAGCTTGTGACACTTGGAACTAACTCCATAACGACATTGATGTGATTATTTCGTTCGAAAATGAAACTATAGGTGCGAATCAGACCGCCAATGGAAAAAAGGAAAACATTCGGTGAAAACGGTGGAAGTGAAGGCTCTCTCATCTTGTCAAATGGACTGTCCTTGTCAGGAGAGACAGTACAGGCCATAGAATATAGCGGACGAGAGGGCGCACACAGCCCCTTACGTGGATCGTAGTGTGACAAGCAATAAGAGCGGCAGTCACCTGTAGTGGTTATAAAGCTCCATGTGCCCTTTTTGTGCAATTTCCTTCCACAAGAATGGCACATATGCGCCCCTCGTGGACAGTTTTATCGTCCCAACGAGAAGATTCATTCGCCTGAATTCAACCTGGTGTGTTTCTTTAATCGTCCCGAAAGGTTGGGACGTTAAATTCGCAAGGGCAGACAA